GGCCTGACTTCCAGGGGTTCAGGCGGAACCTCCACCACGTCACTCTTGGTGGACTCCTCGGCATCCTCCCCCTCGTCGTCCTGCTGCAGCTCAGTCGACTTCCTGGCCGACTTCTCCCCTGTGGTCGGCTCCCCTGCCGACTGCCCGGTTGCCGACTACTCCGTGGTCGGCTTCACTGCTGGCTGCTCCTCTGTCGGCTTCTTCTCCTCAACCTGCTCCTCCCCTAGCAACGTCGACTACACTCCCACGTTGACTTGCTGCTCCTTATGTCGGCCACCGGTGATGCTCTTGGCCGGCGCCGAAGGCGACGTTTCACTACTCCCCTCATCGCCAGAGGCCGACACCAAGGTCAGCCTGCGCAGGTCGGCAAGGAGGGGAGGGGCAGGGGTCGGAGAGGGGGGGGAGGGAGGGCGGACGTCCTCGACGTCCTCAGCAGCAAGCTCACCGACCTCGGCGAGCAGAGGTAGCGTCGCCGTCGAGGTGTCGGTCAGCGGCGTGGTCGGCGATCGTCCTGACACCGGCCCGTGCTCCGATTTCCACACTTCCAGCGACAAGTCCTCGTAGAACACCACGTCCGACGTGGTGACCACCCGGTTGTCGGCGACGTCGAGGAGTTCCCAGCCTTTGCTCTCCCTCGACACGCCGAGGTGAAGGCCCCACCTGGCCTTCGGCTTCAGCTTTCCACCACGCTGCTGCTCGGGGAGAAGGAACTGCGCCATGCAGCCCCACACCCGGGCCAGCGATAAGTCAGGCTTCGTCCCGGTGAGCAGCTGGTACGGCGTCGTCCCCGGCGGCAGAGTCGACCTCTCAAGGCAGTTGCGGACCCAGACGGCCTGCTGCAGAGCGAGGTGCTACCAGTGGTGCTGCACGCCCATTTGCAGCAGCATCGTCCGCACCGACTCCACCACCATCCTCATCTCCCGCTCCGCCATGCCGTTCTGTTGCGGGGTGTACGGGCAGGTCAGGTTGTGGACGATCCCCTTGTCGTCCACGAAGTCGGTGAATTCTTCCCGAGGAACTCCCCTCCTCGGTCGGAGCGAAGCATTAGCACCGACTTCTTCGTCTGCCTTTCCACCAATACCAGCCACTTCTGGAATTCTAGCAGCACATCCGACTTCTTGGCGACCAGCCTTACCCACACGAAGCGGGTCTTGCGGTCCTTCAGCAGCAAGAAGTACAAGCTGCCATCCTTGGCAGCCACGCGGAACGGCCCGCACAGGTCGAGGTGCACAACGACCAGCACGTCCTCGACGTCGGAGCCTTGGTCGGGGAAGGTGTGCCGCGCCAGCTTCCCGCCGACACACGAGACACACGGTGAGTCGGCCCCCGTTGTCGACTTGAGGTCCAGCCCAATGGCGACCTCGTTCTTCGCCGAGCTCCGTATGGTGTCCATGCCGGCGTGCGCAAGTCTCGCATGCATCATGTCCGGTGTCGACTTTGTCTTAAAGACGATCGCCCGCAGGGCCACAACCTCCGTCATGGGCGACGTCAACCTCGTTGAGCAGGGACGCAGGTCGGTGCAGAGGACACACCCGGAATACGTCGCCCGACCGAGCACCACTACTGCTGCCGAGACGAGCAGCATCCCGTCGCCGTCCTCCTGCAGCTTGACGCCGTGCTCCTTCAGCTGGCCGGATGACAATAGGTTTGCCTGCACACTCGGGACGTACAGCACGTCGGGGATGAGCACCTGCTTCCCGGCCTCTCCTTGCAGGGCGACGGTGCCGCGGCCCTGGACGTCCTGCAGCGCCCCGTTGAAGCCGCGCACGTGCTTGATGGAGCCGCTCGGCTGCAGGTCGACGTAGATTTCTTTCGTCCCCATCAGGTGGTGGGAGCAGCCGCTGTCGAGCAGGACCACCGCCGGGTTCGCCTGCACAGCTGCCGCCACCGCGTGGAAGTCCTCTCCGGCCTCCGGTGCCAGCGAGACGGTCGGCTCCACGACACCGACCAGTGAGAACGACGCCGTCTTGTCGTCCCGCCCCTTGCCGCAAGCAGAGGAGTCGGCGTCCTTCGCCGAGGTCGACGCCGTCGACTGCTTCTCCTTGCACGGCTTGTTTCCTCCTCGACAAGGACGACGGCTGCCAGACCTTCCGCGGCCACCCTTGGCATTGTCGACGTCGGAGTCACTGCAGTCGGGGCACTCGAAGGAGAGGTGGTCGGGGTCGCCGCACAGCCAGCACTCCCGACGCCGACCTCCTCCTCCTCGACCGCTGTCCTTGGTCGACATCTTCTTGTCGACTTCCTTGGCCGGCTTCCAGCCACTGGTACCACTGCCGCCAGACTGTCCGCGCTGCCCCGGTCGACCTCCTAGTTTTGCCGGGGCGACAAAGTTCGCCTGCGCCAAGAGCTCCTATGACCGCTCTGCCTCCTGCATCACCTCGCCTTGTAGAATGTACGAGGTCAAGTTGTCATCGACCTCGTGCTCAGCGCCATTGAGAGCCGCTTCAGGAGGTTGTAGCTACTCGAGAGTCCCTGCATGACATGGGTGACATACGACGCCGTCGAGTACTGCGCGCCGGCCATCTTGATGGTGGCGAGAATTCGCCGGGCTCGGTTGCAGTAGTTGGTCGCCGTGTCCTCGTCGCCCATACGCAGGTGCGTCAGCTGCCCCTCCAGTTGGGCGATGAACAAGTCGTCGGTGACTTGGTAGGTCGACTCAATGAAGTGCCACGCTTGGTGGCCGACGTCGAGGTACTCTCGGCACCACTTCAAGGTGATCTGCACGCCCGGCGAGCAACACCGCGAGATGACCGTGAAGGTCAACAGCTGCACGGCGCGGAACTCCGCTCGTAAGTCGGCGTGATGCTCCTCCGGCGTCGCCACTGTCCCTCGGGCGAAGCCGATCAGCCCGGCCATCTCCAGCTGGGGCTCGATAGCTTCCTTCCAGGTGAGAATGTCTTGTCGACCTACGAGCGGCGGGGTGACCAAGATCCTGCGCGGCGTGAACTTGAAGTAGCCGTAGCTCGGTGCTATCCCGCCCGCTGTCACCTGGGTCGCCGACATCGGCGACAATCCGCTTCGATGTTCTCCGACGTCGCCCTGCGAGGAGCCTGCGGCCACCGACGACTGCCTCTCTCGCTCCTGAACGCCGCTGACTTCATCGGCGTGAATCACACCACGCTGCCTCGACGTGCCTCCCACACTGCTGCCGACTTGGCCACCTCCAGCGTTGACACCCGCCTTGACGCCGCCTTCGTTGGTCACCGGTCGAGGAGAAGCTGGTCGAGAAGGGGGATGCTCCGTCGCCCACACGGTGCGGAGTCCAGCCTCGACGACCGCCCAAGGTTTCGCCCCGTACTCCTGGGCCTCACGGCGTCTCCTCGCATCCTTTAGCTGTGCCTCCACGGTGTCCATCACCTCTGCGTCACCTACGCGCACGCTAGTGACTGGACGGCTGCCGGCCTACCAACAACTTAGGTAAGTGACAACTACGTCCACCTGACTGAAAGGTAAGTCGTGTGTCCTCCTCGCTCACCTCACCATGCGGAGATAACTACTACAACGGGAGCTAGACTACGGGCTAGGCACGGGTGCTCGTGTGATCTCTGCGTTCGTTGGTCCTTAGTCGTTTTCCTAGTGCACACACTGCTTGCTTGCTAGTTCACGGGGTAATTTTGGCAAGAGTTTCACTAGAAAAAGTTGACAACAATGTGACAAATCAATTGGCATGGCAAGACTACATCAGAGCTAACATTCAGGTCGGTCGACTGCCAGCATAGCATGGTTGACCGCGTTCCAGCACGACTTGGTCGACCGCGCTCTAGCAGTGCAAAGTCGACGGCGTGCCAACGCTGCAGGTTGACGGTGTGCCAGCGTTGCTCCCGCAGAATAGCAGCGCACCTACTTCGCAGGTGCTCGTAGATGATTGGCGGGCTAAGCCTCGTCACCTGAACAGCACACGCACCAAGTCATCCTCGTGCTGACGGCTCCACCTGATCCGCCACGTCGACCTCGAGATACCACCACCGAGGTTGGACTCGCCAACTTTGCCTGGGCGACCGTCACACTCCTTCGCAGAACCTCGTCACCCAGGTATCCCGGTCGACCGGGCAACCATGTCGACCAGCTGCTCCTGTATGTGCTCGTCGACCTCCCAAGTCGACGACCACCCCAAGTCGACCTCACCAGGTTGACCACACCTCTGGTCGACCAGCTCCAGGTCGACGTCACTCCTGGTCGACCAGCTCCACGTCGACCAGCGCAGTTGTCAGCCGACCACCCAAGTCGGCTACCCAAAGTCGGCGTCACCAAGTCGATGCCCCTTCTACGTCGGCGCCAACTTCCAGACCGACCTCTTGAAGTCGGCGACCTCCCAAGTCGGCGACCTTGCAAGTCGGCGACCTTGCAAGTCGGTGACCTTGCAAGTCGGTGGCCTTGCAAGTCGGTGACCTTGCAAGTCGGTGACCTCCCAAGTTAGCGACCTTGCAAGTCGGTGACCTTGCAAGTCGGTGACCTTGCAAGTCGGTGACCTTGCAAGTCGGCGACCTTGCAAGTCGGTGCCGACTTCCAGGTCAACGTGCCACATCGCCGACCACCAGTTGAAGTCGGCCGCCGGCTTCCCAAGTCGGCGGCATTGCAGTGGCCCCGTGCAAGTCGACCAACCCCGTCGAGCAGCTCGCCCAAGTCAGCGTCGCCCACTGCTGCAAGTCGGCTGTACCTCCCGTACACCCAACCACGAAGTCGGCTCCGCCCAAGCGAGGACGGGGCCAACAACAACTCCCGTTGACAACGGCACCACAGGGGCCCGCGCGCCGTCCCTCCTCCCGTCGCCCGTCGCGGCGCCCCGGGGGCCCGCGCGCTGTCCCCTCCCGTTGCCCGTCGCGGCGTCCCGGGGGCCCGCGCGCCGCCCCCTCCCGTCGCCCGTCGTGGCGCCCCGGGGCCCCGCACTCCTCCCTGCCCGTCGCCCATCGCGGCGCCCTAGGGGCCCGCGCGTCGCCCCCGCAAGGACGTCACCCAAGCCTATTCTGGATATTTTGCGTATTTTGGCCCGAGCAAGAGACATGAGGCGCGGACCAAAGACGTGAGGCCCGGATCAAGGACTTGACCCAGCCTTGAACCCCAACCCGACCTAGCCTTCAACCCAACCCGACCTAGCCTTGAACACCAACCTGACCCAGCCCATAACCCCATCTTGACCCAATTTTATTCCCCAATCCCACCAAGCCTTAAACCCTGACATGACCTAGCCTTCAACCCCAACCTGGCACAGCCCATACCCCAACCTCCACCACCCCCTCCTCCCCCGCCCCCTTCTCCCCCTCCCTCGCTTCCCGCTCCCCCACCTCCCCCGCCCCCTCCTCCCCGTCCCCCGCCCCCCCCCCTCCCCCGCCCCCCCCCTCCCCCGCCCCCCCCCTCCTCCTGCCCACCCACCCCCCGCCCCGCCCGCACCACCCCCCGCCCCGCCCGCACCACCCCCCGCCTCCCTCGCCTACCCCTCCCCACCTCCCCCTCCTTCCCCTCCCCTTCCTCCCCCTCCTCCCCCTCCCCCTCCCCCTCCTCCCCCTCCCCCTCCTCCTCCCCCTCCCTCCCCCCCCTCCTCCTCCCCCTCCCTCCCCCCCCTCCTCCTCCCCCCCCCCTCCCTTCTCTCTCCCTTCGCTGCTTGATCTCAGAATCCCAACCACTAGACCATTGGGATAAAAGGGCTTGTTTTAGTAGCGGGTCAGTGCGCCCATAACCCCCCAGGCAAACGTGCCTGTAACCATTCCCTAGGATCAGTTGGGGATTACCAGTGGACCTGTGACACCCCCCCGCACTGGGATGCCCAAAGTGCATACACCGGGATTCGAACCCGAGACCTTTGTTCTGGATACCATCTCAAAATCCCAACCACTAGACCATTGGGATAAAAGGGCTTGTTTCAGTAGCGGGTCAGTGCGCCCATAACCCCCCAGGAAAACGTGCCTATGACCCTTCTCTAGGATCGATCGGGGATCACCAGTGGACCTCTGACACTTGAGATTCTTTCAGGAGCAAGCACGCAGGCTCGGCTAATGCTGACATTGAACCGCTTTCCTTTTTTGTCCATTTCTGGCTTGATTGGGTAAATAGCGGTGAAAGTTACGTTAAAGGAAGAACGTGGGCAATGTTCTTGTAACGTGACAAGCTATCATGATTTCTTCATAACCGCCTTGCCTGCCTGCTTGTGTGCACAGTGAACTGATTTCAGTTTCATGAACAAGCTTGCCAAGCATGTCAGATTACGAATTACCTAACTGCATCTGCACTGGGACTGGGCCAAAAGTGCTGAATTACCAGTGCTTTTCCAAGCGGTGACCAAGCGCTGGCTTCGAGGGAGATGTGGCAAAGAGTGTTTCTAATGCACTGCATAAACGAATCATTCAGTCATTCTAGCCGGTCCTCTTGCACCTCATGCTGCCACCTTACCACCCTCAAAACGCTTCAGCTTGAGCAACGAGTGTAAGTAGCAATTGAAGAGAAACAGTAGATAGTTATCAGAAGCGCTGCACGTGCGGCGTTGAACGCGCTTTTAATCCGGGCCAGGGACGCACTGCACGGGCCACATAGCAATGCACGGAGCACAAAAGAGGGCTTAGGGTTACGAACAAGTGACCAATGACACACATGGAATCACGGAAAGTCCAACAAGGAGTAAAGCGCAGGGAGGGAGAGCAGGGAGGGAGAGCAGGGAGGGAGAGCAAGGAGGGAGAGCAGGGAGGGAGAGCAGGAAGGGCAAGCATGGAGGAAGGGGAGGGAGGGAGAGCAGGGAGGGAGAGCAGGGAGGGCGAGCAGGGAGGGAGGGCAAGGAGGGAGAGCAGGGAGGGCGAGCAGGGAGGGAGGTCAGAGAGGGAGAGCAGGGAGGGCGAGCAGGGAGGGAGGGCAGGGAGGGAGAGCAGGGAGGGCGAGCAGTGTGAGGATCTGGATCAGGAAAGATAATTCTATTGAATGATTCACCTGGGTACAAGGCGAGGCTATATATAGGCTCGACACAAAGGCAGTAACCCTGGTGTTACTAGAAGGTTCCGCGGGTTGCGAAGCGTCCCGAACGGGTCCTTCCCGAATTCGGTAGAAGGCAATTCGGTGGCAACCGAAAAGCCTAGAATTCGGTGCACTCAACCTAGTTCGGTGCCTATAACTATAATAATATAGTAAAAGCAATGAACCTAGGAAATCTAGCAAAATCAAGCAAAGCAAAATAAAGCTAAGCTAGATAGTGCATAATAAAGCATAATCAAGCTAGTAAATCATAGCAAAGCCGTCGTACTCTCACACGTCCCCCCCTCAAAGCTGGGTGGCGTGAGATATACCCTGCTTGACAAGATAGTCCTTGAGAGCACGGCGTGCGTTGCCCATATCAGCTTCTACAACCCAACTGTCCTCCGAGGGGTCATATCCGTTCCACCGTATCAGGAACTCAAGCGTTTTGCCGCGTCTGCGTCGATGAGCGAGAACTCGTTCCACCTCGTACTCTGGTTCATCCTGTACGAGAACAGGTGGTGGTGGCGGTAGCTGTCGTCCTGTAAACTGCTGGTTGGGGTCCTTGTAGGGTTTCAGCAGCTGAACATGGAAAGCGTTGTGAAGCTTCCACGTAGTAGGTAAGCGCAAGCGGAATGTTACTAGTGTCACCTGTGCCTCAACGCGAAAAGGACCACAGAAGCGAGGCCGGAGCTTGGATGGTATGTGAGACATGTTCAAGTTGCGCGTGTCGAGAAGCACCTGATCTCCGACTGCTACTGAGTGATCTCGTCGCTGTCGATCGGCATACTGCTTCTGGGAATTCTGCATCGTGGTGAGACGTTGCTGAGTCTTCTCCCATAGCTGCTGCATGGTGGTGACGAAGTTGTGTGCGGCTTGGACGTGTGCCGGTGTAGTTGGCTGCTATGGTGTAAGTGGTTTCCGTCCGTAGCACAGGAAGAAAGGAGATTTTCCTGTGGCCGCATGCAACGCGTTGTTGTAAGCGAACTCAAGCGTTGGTAACTGTTGATCCCAGTGGCTGATGTCGTCCTTGCAAGCTATGCGTAGTAACTGTTCGACCACTTGATTGAGTCGCTCAGTCTGTTCGTCAGTTTGGGGGTGGTACGCTAAAGACATCGCAAGCTTAGTCCTCAACAATCCCATGAGTTCCCTCCAGAACTTACTAGTGAACTTTGGGTCTGTGTCCGAGATGAGTGTAGCTGGGATGCCATGGATGGTGATGATGCGGTCGAAGAAGAGGCGAGCTGTTGCTTCAGCTGTAGCTGTGGCGTTGGTCGGTATGAAGTGACCCATTTTAGAGAACTTATCGATAACTACGAGGATGGAATCATATTCCCGTGAGGTTGAAAGAATTCCTGTAATGAAGTCGAGGCTAACGACCTGCCTTGGCTGCTCCGGTACGGGTAGAGGCTGAAGTAGCCCTGCTTTTTTATGCTTGCTGCTCTTCATCCGCTGGCACGTGTCGCATGAGGTGACGAACTGCTGCACGTCTGCTGCCATCCGGGGCCAGTAGTAATACTTCGCTATTCCCGCTAACGTCTTGTTGCTCCCGAAATGTACCGCATATGCCACATCGTGGAACTCCTCCAATAAGATCTGTCGAAGCGGGGCATAAATCAGTACCCAAATCTTTCCCGATCCCTTTCTTACAGCTAAGTCCTTCTCCCACTATAACAGCTTCTTGGTCTGTGCTGTAGCGATCTCTGCGTCCACGGAGTACCCATGTTGGAATAGACCCTTGAGCAGAGGGTTCATCCCGTCGAGCTGGATGCCTGCTACATGACCGGGGCGGCTCAACGCGTCTACCTTGTTGTGTAGCCCGGGCTTGTAGACGATGTCGTAGTGGAAGTGAGTTTCCAGGAAGTCCACCCACCGCACCTGACGTCGTGAGAGCGTCGGCTGCGACTTTAGGTATTTGAGACTGCAGTGGTCAGTATAGACTGTAGTCTTGGCTCCTTCTAGGTAACACCTCCACGCCTTGAAGGCTATAACTATCGCTAAGGCTTCCTTGTCATGGATGGGGTAGTTCAGTTCTGCTCCGTGTAGCTTCTTACTGAGGTAGGCGATGGGCTGCAAACCGCGTCCATGATCCTGCATCAGTACTGCTCCGACTGCTTGGTCACTAGCGTCTCCTTCCACCACGTAGTCCTTGTCTGGATCTGGTAGGATGAGTACTGGCGCTGTAGTCAGTGCTGTCTGTAGCTGCTCCATGGCTTGCTGTTGAGGAGTATCCCATTTATAGGGTGTATCCTTTTTCAGTAGGTTGGTCAGTGGCGCTGCTATCTTAGCGTACTACGGCACGAACATGTTGTAGTAGTTGGCAAAGCCTAGGAACTGCTGCAACTCCTTCACGTTCTCAGGAACTTTCCACTTCTTGACGGCTTCGATTCTCCGCGGGTCCACGTGTACGCCCTCGGCACTCACCATGTGCCCGAGAAACTGCACCTTCTTCAGGGCGAAGTCGCTCTTCGACAGCTTCACGTAGAACTTGTTCTCCCGCAAGATCTCGAAGACTTTCCGCACATGCTCCACGTGCTCCTTCATGGTTTTCGAGTAGATCACTATGTCGTCCAGGTACACTACCACGCACTCGTCTAGCAGGGGCCGTAGGATGTGATTAATCTCTGCCTGGAACGTCGCTGGTGCGTTGCAGAGTCCGAACGGCATCACCAAGTATTCGTAGGAGCCGTATCTCGTACGAAACGCCATCTTGTGGACCGAGTTGTCTGCCATCTTGATCTGCCAGTAACCCGATCGTAGGTCCAGCTTCGAGAAGACTGTTGCACCACGCAGTTGATCCAGTAGGTCGTCTATGCGCGGTATGGGGTATTTGTTCATGACTGTCTTTTTGTTCAGTGCCCGATAATCGATGCACATCCGTAGACTACCGTCTGGTTTTGGAGTGAAGAGAACCGGTGCGCCGTAGGGAGAGGTGGATGGGCGGATCAGTTGTCTGTCCAGTAGATACTCAATCTGCTTCTTCATGTCTGTCAGTTCAGTCGGACTCAGTCGGTATGGTGCACGTGAGACGGGTTTCGCACCTGGTTCCTCCATGATCTCGTGCTCGCGGGTTCGCGCTGGAGGCACTCCTGCAGGTAGGTCATCTGGCATGATATCCTTGTACTGCTCCAACACCTCCCTTACTACTGCAAGTAGCTCCGAGTTCGGCTTTTCCTCCTCTGCTGCTGTCATAACCAGTGCTAAGTAACCCATGCCAGTGTCGTTTCAGGAACATCCCCTGTATCCGTCCAGCTTCGCAGCTCCACTCATTTCCCGTTGTTGTAGATACGCGCCTTCCGATTGACCCACTCTATCTCGGGGTTGAACCGCTTCAGATAATCACGCCCCAAGATGAAGTCTAATCCTTTGATGTTCGTGATCGGTAACATCGGCTTCCACCTTAACGCTCCTATCTGCAGCTGCAGTGTTGACTCGCCGTGGATGGAAAGCTTCGTACCGTCCACCATCATTGCTGTGAATTGGGTCTCCTCAGATGATTCTCCGATTTTCTCCAACGTCTCGCGGTGGCACACCGAGTGGGACGCACCACTGTCCACCAGTGCCTGGAGGCGTCGCCCGTTGCAGATCACCTCGAGTACTAGTGGCTGCTGCCGCTCCGAGTAGCTGTAGATGGTGTTGCTTACAGGATCATAAGGTAGATTAAATGTAT